GCCCTAAACTAGTGGATCTGGGGTAATTTTTTCGGGGGAAAATGCCTCAATAGCCATATGTCATTAAAAAAGATTTATAGGAACAGTTCCCACTAAATGCCTTAAAATTTTTTTTGCTTAATGTCCTATAACACCCTTTTTCTAGTAGTGCTCTGACTCTAACACCAAAATGCATTATCATCAAAAAAAAAAAAATTTTAAACCTAACTGACATATCCTTATGTTGGACGGTTGGATACCAATACGTGTAATGAACATATTTCTTCTGATATTTGCTCATAAAATAATTGTTGCATGAATGGCATGTTCCCCGTACTCATTAACCAGAAGTATGCCTGAGGTTTAGTTTTTGGAGAACTATTAGTATGATAACATATCTTTTTTAAATCTAAACTTGTAGTTGGGCACGCCAGAACATCATATCTCATTGAGATATTCAAGAATATACACTTCATCCTTTTTACTGTTGAAAGATTTCTTAAACTCCTCCAAACTAATCAAAATTGTAATAAAGTTTTACCTCTCTATAATTCACCAAGGTTAAAATGGGGTTGTTTTGCATTCATCATAGTCAATTAAATGCACGCATCGTGCTAGATCCAAGTTTAAGATGTCAATAATGGTTCAAGTGGCAAAAGTATTAGATCAGATTAAGACCTGGATTTGAATCCGAACATAGACAAGCAACAATAATTAAAACTAGATGCTTGGCGCCTTTAATATTACATTCATATTAATTAAAAAAATAATATTGTAGAACCTGACTATTATAATATTTAGGCATCGAATAAAAATATGATGGTATGCACATGGTCTACGAATGTATCCAAATTCGAAATTCATATATACATGCTTGCCCGAGCGAAGGCCTGAGCGACTCTTATAATTTTAAATTGGTTAGATGAAAAAACAAATGATTCATAAAAAGAATAATATATTACTCCCTCTGTCCCAAAATTTTTGTTTAGTTTGAGATTTCACTTTTAGTGTAATTTGAATTAGAAATGAAACACAAACTGGACAATAATTATGGGACGGAGAGAGTATATTTTTATAATATGAATAGTAACATAAAATCGATGGGTAAGCCTTCACTGCCTTCACAATTGAAGGATCTGCGCATACAAAATGTTCAAACTTTAAACTTAATAGATCAAAAAACAGAAAGCAATAACTGTGTTGGAAGCACTTTTTTTTCTTCACTCCATTCGTAATACTTTTCGGTTTTCACCAAAACTAAAGTTCCACAACTGAATAGAATGCACTTGGTATTGTCACATTGAAGCCACTTTTGATCCATAGTAAAACTACTTAAAAAAATCGCATGTTGAAAGCTCCTCAACAACATCTTTTACCATTTATTTTTCTTTAGAACTTCCAACAGAAACTCTCCTATGATGTCTCTTCGATTGATTTCTCTAGCTTCACAATTAGCAACCTATCTCCCATGCAACTTCAAGTTTGAAAGTTAATGCAACACCTTAAAAAAAGTACTTTGATGAAGAAAGGTCAGCTTCTTCGTCTTCCCTAAGGTCAGCTTCTTGGTTGTTTTCATACCATCAAACATATCATGCAACACATTCACTGTCATCAATCACAATAATGTGGATTAATCTTTCAAAACTTAGTCACTTAAATGTGTCTCAGTTGAAAAATAGAACCTAAAAATACACACTAAAACTACATAGATTTAATTTCTCATATGAAATAAAATGTAGGAGTAAAGAATAGAGAGAGAGAGAGAGAGAGAGAGAGAGAGAGAGAGAGAGAGAGAGAGAGAGAGAGAGAGAAGTGGTGTCAATTACCATAAACGGCTCCATTAAGATCAAAACATGGAAGACCAATGATGATTATAATTCTTGGTTTCGCTTTTCTGATTGTCAGCTACGTGCGGGAGCTGTTTCCTAAAAAACACCCGTGCAATGCAATTCAAGGTAAGAACTGAACTTGTCTATTTTTTAGCAAAAACTTAACACTCATTTCTTATGAACAATGAATTTAAAACTCATTACTTCATTAGTAAACAAACTACAAGAATTTGTAAACTAACACTATCGCACACCACATATACACTTTTCCAATAAAAACAACAGTATCGGCAACATATTCCATAATTTACACTATAGAGCTTAAAAATAAAAGCACATGAGCTGAAAAATAAAAGCACTTGGTTTCCATTTTACTTCAAAGCAGAATAATTTATAAAAGGAATTATTGAAAGTTAAAAGTTAGGCAGTTCTATGCGTCGTTAATACACATTTCATATCATCACAAAGATGATTAATCAAATTCTTCATACGACATCTCTTCTCATTTGTTCTGATCAAAGGAAATGTTTTAATCCATTTTATCTGTCCAAATTTTCTATTTTACTTTGACTACTTCAACTCTTGCATATTATAGAGAAGAAGATAAACCATAATTCTACTTCGCAGTATCAAACACTGAATTACACAAAGCCTATAACTTGAAAAAATACTTGATCAAGACAATAATAAATTAGATAGAAGAACTAAACTCACCATTTTTTGGGCTGTAGTAGTTTAAAATACACTATCGACCGAGATTTTACTATCGATCCATGTTCTTTGAGGACAAAGGAATAGCTATCTTTACCCTGCAGAATACATAACCAAAAACAAATGGCAATCCAAGAAGACAGAAAATGTGTCCAGAATTTGTCTATTGTTGTTGAAAAACTTTAAAAAAAGATGAAAATAGAATGAGAAGGATACTCGAAGTTGCCGCCGAAAGGAACGAACTTACTAAACCGCTTTGAAATCTTTCTTCTCTTCACCAGCAGGGTTGACAACGAAAAATTCCAGAAATGCAGCCGATTCTCTTAAATCCATTGATCAAATCTAAGCAACGTATATTAGCAAATTCAAGAAAATACCTTAATCTTAGATAGACAATAGGAAGGGCTGTGTTCTGCTTGTGAACCCACCTTCTCTGATGCAATTGATTAGTTTTTGAGAATGATAATGGTGAAATATCTGCTAAAATCAACCTGTAACTAAATCCAGGGATGTAAGCTTACAACGAAGAAATCCGGAGAAGAACTAAATGGAGTCAATATATCCCCCTTCCTAGTGGAGAACCCCATGAAAGTGATCGGGAGATATAGACAAAATCATTGTCGCTTTCTTGTCGTTGTAGTGGGAATTGACCTAATATAAATGGATGCTTAAATAACAATGAAAAAGTAGAAAAGAAATGAAAGCTTTCTTTGTCTCATTCTATCACATCAGCAGTTCAATTAGATACAACTCTGAAGGCAGGCATTTTAGCCAAAGATTTTCAAATGTATTTGTCTGGATGGCTGCGGGAAAGGGGAAATAATCGAACCCAAATAAAAATCAATTCTTGGGAGCCATTGACATTGTTCTGGCAGCATCAAAAGTTCTAAAACGATTCCAATACCAACCCTTTTGTTCGGAATCAAAAACTCATCATTTTAATCAAAATTCCATACCAAACATGTCACAAAAATGTAAGAAACGAACACTTCAGAAAAAAACAATTCTTGACGGATAGAGGAACACCAGAATTCATACCAAAATCTGGAGAGAATCAAAACAGAAATTGAGGAGATATGAACGGTAAAACCCGAACCTGATTGAAAAGCTAAGCAATAATCCATAGAGCTTCCCATTCCATTCAAAAACTGGAAGTATTTCTATGCTAAATCTGCAAACTTGGACCAATTCCAATTGGCCAAAGTTGATGAAAGCTTAAATCTCAACAAAAGACAGAAGTTGCTTTTTAAAAGTTCAAACTTTTTCAACTGCAGAAGTAAGGATGCAAAACCATGATTCTACATTTGAGGAATTACCTGAGAGTTTTTTCGAGCCATCGGCCTTTTTAAATTCAGGCCAAAAAGGAATCTACTCCAAAGTGGGAATCGACTCGGCTTTCATCTGGCTGTCAACAAAATCATAATCGGCAAAGAGTAATTGAGGCCTTTTCAGACATCCATCGCCGGCTACATCAACAATTAAAAACAAAATTTGAAAAAATGAATCTTCACCCGTTTAAGCATGAACATATAATCTAAATATGTTGTCCTATATGTTTGAAATTGGGAAAAAATAAATCTAAAAAAAAATAAAATTAACCATCAGATCCCTAATTCATCCAAAAATCTGCTCCTAGGAACTGCGGCGCCCTCGCTTCTCGGTCGGTTGTTCATCAATCAACCATCTCCTCTTCAAATAGTCATCAACTGGCCACAAAAGTCAGCGACGATTGAAAGAGAACCCTACGATTCAAATTGAAGAAGCAGGGGAGGGGGAAAAAAGGAGTTTAGGTGATGGCTAACGTTTCGCAACCAAAAAAAAAAATTAAAAAAAAAGTTTGGCCGTCATATCTTCTATTTAGCGCCGCTTTGAGCTTTAGGTTCATCATCGATTTAGGCTTAAGGAAGCGGAATTGAGGAGAGACTCGCCGGCATTCTGTTTCATCGAAATTGAAACCTAAAGGTAAGGAAACGGAATGGAAGAAATCTATTGAAATCTTCTAAATAATGAACAAATTTTTAATTTTGAAATTAATGATATTATTAATCAGCAACGATAAGGGGCAATCAGTGCTGAAAATGGGGGAGTTTTTCCCACTACATGAGACATTTACATAGACATTTGGAGAGATTATATATGGATTTCTATCCCTTAAATTGAGGGATTCATTTGAACTGATTCATTCGCTAGAAAGTAGGATTTTCAGAACTTACTTTGTGTTAAAATTTGCTGCTTATTGGTGAAGCCACGTGTCCACTTTTTGTAGCTTCAGTTTTGTACTATAAATGGTTTTGGAGGGAAAATTTTCTTTGTGATGCTGACACGTGTCCAGAATGTTTGTTACTTTAAGTAAGTACACTAGATGAGTTTTAGTCCAAAACCGAATGGTTTTAGACTTTGAACTTTGAAGCCGTCCTACACCCTATTCCCCTATATAAAGAAAAAGGGTGCTTGATTTTTTGTCTGAAGAGTGAAGACATAAAAAAAAACCCTAGAATTCACAATTTCTATACACTCTTTTGAAACTTTTGACTCTTCTAACGCACACTTAATCGAAATTAACCATTAGCCACCGTCTCGCAGACTTAATCTGACTGCGCCACCCGCAAACGTTTTCCATGGTATAGGAAACGGCGTCACTTAGTTGAAATCAAATTCAAATCCTTTTTTATGGTAATTAATACCTCTTGCCCCTTCTTTTTGCAATTCTCAAGTCCGATGATTGATTCGAATAGCTTATTGTCTTCCATCTTCTCTCCCGCTTAATCATCCTCGTCTTTCTGGTAATAGATTCGTTTTCTCTTTACCTAACCTTTTTTGCATTGTTAAAAACTCTTTGGTGGTTGGAATTTTTTTTTTTTTTTTTTTTTGGAGGTAATTGTCAAATTCTACTGAAGATCGATTTTTTATCCCGGTTTTTCTGAGGGGTTGATAATCACTCCTGTTTATGCATCGATTAATGTCATTGATTGAAGCGCTTGTCTCTGTTTGCCGCAACGAAGCTTTTGTCTGCTCGATGCATTCGTAGATCTTAACATTGCTCTGAACTGTGACTTTTATCTACTATGTCTCTTTTGGTGGAACTTATGAGGGTGATTACTGTTTCCTCATCATTTCTAGTTCGGAAATAAGCAGCTTTGGTGGAACTAAGTTATCAATCTTGCTGAAGAAGATGAAGAGGAAGATGGTAGACGGGATTTCCGATTTTAGACTCTCTAAGGTGAATTGATGAATCTCTCTTTTCTTTTTTTCTCTTTACCCTCTTAGATGATCAAGGTTCTGTTTATTTTTAATCTATGGGTAAATATATGCTTAGTTGCTAGTAATTTTTTGAGAGAAAACTTACTTCGTTAGTTGCTAAATAGTTGTTCTCCCTTTTTTATAGTGTGCAAAAAGTGAGCGGTCTCTTGGGGATCGTATTAGTCTGCTACCAAGTGAAATTCTTGTTCACATCCTATCTTTTCTGACGCTGAAAGAAGCTGGCAGAACAAGTGTTCTGTCAAAACGTTGGATGGAACTTTGGGCCTTTGTTGTGCAACTCGATTTTGATGCTTCTAAGGTGTCATCTTTCGGAACTCCTCTCTTTCCAGAGAAAAGGCAACAATATGTTGAGTGGGTGGAGAAGGTCCTGGAATCGCACAAGGCCCCTGTAATTATAAAGTTCAGAATTTGCTTTGAGCTGAACAAATACTTCCAAAATCTTGTTGATATGTGGCTTCACTATGCTTTTTCTAAGAGAGTGGAAAGGCTGGAAGTGGACTTGTTGAGAGTTGGCCACCCCTTGTGTCCTTCTCCGGAACCTTGTCATTTTCCTGCTGGGCTCCTTGACCAGAGTAGTGACAAACGTTCAGAGGAATCTCATTATATTGACTATGGCAAAAGCATTCATAATGTTGTGATTACCAGATTTAGTTGCCTCAGATCATTATCTTTATCAGGGGTAGTTGTGACTGGAGTGGATTTTGATCTTTTCTTGCTCAAGTTCCCTTGCCTTGAGTGTCTGATAGTGCGGAGCTCACACTCACAAGATATGTCAGCTGTTACAGTTTCTGGCTCATCTCTTGCACTCAGATATTTGGAGATAACTTATTGTAAATATTTACAGTCTATTATCGTGCGTGATACTTGTCTTGTCTCCCTTATTATTACACGGGTTAGTAATTTGCAGCTTGAAAATGTTCCAAGGCTTGTAAATGTGCGTGTTTCTGGATGGCTGGTTAGAGAAATAATTCCACAACTTTCCAGCTTCCTGTCGAGACTCGAGGTTCTTACCTTACATTTCGTAGATGATGATGTCAGAGAGGTTAGTATCTATTTTTATTCAATAGAAATTGATTTTTAGCCAAAGTATATGTTAGTTGTATTAATTTTATCAACTACTCTCTATGCTTTCTTATAATTATTCTGTCTTATTTGATATCCCAGGGAAAAGATGGGATATTGGGGTTCCCCATCTTGCTGCATTGAAGCAATTAATCATTATTGTCACTGCATGGGAAGATGCTAGTTTTATGCATTTGGCGTCTCCACTTATGAGATCATCACCCAAGTTGGAGAAGTTTATATTGGAGGTATGTTGTTCTTCCGTAGATTTTAGCTAAATCTGATTGTTTCATTTGGCGCCATTTTCTTTTTTAGATCACTCATTGAGCTACAGCCAGTGAAACTTCAAATGATTAGAGATGTGGCTTTGGTCCCTAATTGAAACTTTTTTTCTAAATCATTTTTGTTAATCTCCGGAGTGTTGTTGTTGTGTATATCTGTTTCGCATTTGCATTGGGACTATAGTATGGTTAACAGTAATGGGGGATACAAGAAAGTTTCAGGTCTTCCTCTCAAGAATCTTAAAGTTGTCGAGTTGCGTGGATATTATGGTCGCAGCGCAGAACATGAACTTGTTTTGTACTTTTTGGAAAATGCCACATCTTTAGAAAGGATAATTGTTCATCCTCGCGCATATTCTCTTGCCCTCCGTTGCCGACGTGAGACGTATATTGAGAATGAAATATGTTCGAGAATTCGTGCCGAGAAGCATCTAAAGGAATTAGTACCTTCATGTGTTAATTTAGTTATTGTACCTCCTAGTAGCATTATGCAGCCTCTCTATGGTTAAGAAGCTTATGGTTTTACAAAAACATTGGCAATAACATTATAGTAATCATGGATTGTACTGGAATAATCAAAGTTTGATGAAATCCATTTACTTTCATATTATTTGTAATCAACAAACATTCAAAACCGAGGGTAATGTTATTATTATATATGCTTTGGTTTGTATTGCTTATGACAAATGATAGTTAATACATATTTCAAAGTTCATAGGAGGTGGATACATCGATGGATCATTAACAGGTGAATTATGTGATGGTCATGCAACATCAATCCTTGCCAGAGATCTGGCGATAGCAGAAGTTTGATGCCATTAAAGTCTTTAAAGGAACCTCTGAGATGAAGATGAATAGCACAAAAGGCAAGTCTTTATTCGTATTGAAGAAAAACGAATTAGTGGTTGGAATTGCCCACCTTAATCCATCTGTTGAATTTCCTAGAGAAGATTTTTATTTTCTCTAGAAATTCAAAACTAGTTAAACTTTTGGTTTAGTGGACAGCATGTTTCTGGTTCCCCATACCTAGAATTGCTTTTCCTTTCCAAACCATATTCATCTGTTCTCTGTATCTTACTGTGCCTCATCAAGTGTCTTGTTGAAATTGCATTTCCAACTCCAGTATCTCTGCTTAAATGGATTTCTTTTAGGTGCTTTGAAACTGGAAGGAACGATGGAACTATTGAAGATACTTTCTCAAATCTGTTATCAATTGTGGACTGTCATACTTGACCTCTCTGAGAAAAGAATGCATCTTTTGGTATGATAATATGGTGGTTTTTTACTCTGTGTTTGCCTAGTTCGTATGTGGTTTACAAGAGTCACCTGTGAAGCATTTCAGTTGTGATCTTTTGATATTCATGTTAGGTATTTTGATAAGTTCACAGGGGTGCATGTATCCTTTCTTTTTATCAGACTGGGTAACATTTGACTATATGTGCTGTTTTGGTGGATCCATCTCCATTGGATTTACCCGCACCGCCATATGTTTTTCTACCTCTACATGTTGCATGTTTTTGTCTCCACTTATGTTTTATTCGTGTTATCAACATAGCATTTGCTTAATCTCATAATGTCTGACGAATCAGCTTTGCACAATCTAAAACACGAGTTCATGTTGAAAATGCTTGGCTTCCAATTTGAAAGCAGGTTTTTCTAGACGCAGTTTCAGTCGCTACTCTGCACTTTTTCTTTTTTGCCTCTCTTACATTATTCAGCCCAATGATCTTCTTTATCAATCTTAGGGAACCTATTTGTGCAGTCTTGCCTGTTTGTGCTGTTGTTGAGTTGCTGTTCTAAGGGTGTGCTATGTGAACAAGCTAATGGTTGTTTGAATGGAGATTGCAATGTCTCTTTTTTTTTTTTCTTTGTTTCACTGCATTGGCCTTCCATTCTACTGCTATTGATATTCTGAATGACTGTAGCCTATTGGATGTTTCTGGTATTGGGGAAGGTGTGGAGCAATTAGTAAATTTTTATACTAAGGAAAGTAAGAAAAACAAGTGACTGTAGGCATGGGGAACTGCTTCGAAAGGTGACTCTTAATGGACTTTAGATAGATTCTTTGGTAGTTTACAGGAATATAAGTAGCTTCTGTAGTTGAATTGGGGTTAGATGAAAGAGTTCTTATAAGAGCTCATGGATTTGGTTTATAACTATAGATTTCCCATTCATTTTGTTGTATTCACTAATTTAATGTCTGCTTTATTGATTGCCATATTTCAATTCCTCTATGTTAAGTGTACTAATGCTACATTTTGGGATGGAGATCTAAGATAAAGTTGGTGGGATTGGTTTAAACAAAGTAATGTTATAATCCCTGTATATGGTATATTATTAACCATATAGCCTGTTTTCGTGTTAAGGCAAGATTATTCTATTTTCGTCATATCTCAGATTTTGATTCTTGTATGATCTGCGCCAGAGCCAATCTCAATGTATTTGTGAGTTTGATTCTGTTTTTCATTTTTTCTATTTGTTGGCTGAATGAAACTTTAAATTGAAATCTGCTTTGTTCTTGATAAAGCCAATTGATCGATTATGGTTATGACAATTTGATGCACCGGCATCTGTCAGACTTCTTGTGTGCATCATAAGGTGGGAAAGTTGGTCCTCTTTCTATGATGTAGTTTCTGTATAAATTTCAGCAATTTTTGTTTCTTGCTTTAGTTAGATTCGTGTACTCTTTTTCTTTTCTTTTTTATATTGCTTGAACTTTTCACCTCAGTATAAGGGTAGAAATAACATTATTCTCTGTACAAGTATAAATATTAGTCTTTATATGGACTGTTTAAATTTCAGTGGCCATCTTTTTGATATATTTTTGGGCTTCATTGGAACTTAAAAATTAAGTTATGGCAGGTAATTTTTTCTGTCTTAAGGTATCCTTCCAAGTAAGTTAAGCAGAACTCATTTGAAAGTGAAGCCATATACAAAAAGTCAGTAGTTCTTCCCTTTACGCGTATAAAATAAATTTCTGACGATAAGTCGATAACTTTTATCTCATTAAGTGTATAGTAAACCACATGTAATCCATCCTACTGTTCCTCGATCTGTTCCATCTTCAACATGGTCTAACGCGCTTCTTGGTGAGGCAACCTTGATGGCTCTTTTCAGAGCAACTGTGGTTTGCAGCCATGGCGATTCGGATTCTCTTCTGTTATTAAGTGGATTTGAGGCTCTAGGTTAAGCTGATGCCGTGAAAAAAATATTGATACCAAGTTTCCTATGGTAAAATGCTGGACCAATTAATCATGTTGTGTTGCTACTTTTGTTCCTTTCCTTGTGTTCTCCAGCTCTTTAGTACGCAGTGTGTTTGTCTAAGAATCCTGGAATATCTTCAGCTCTCAGGATGGTGGTGCTGACTATTCTGGAAAAGATGCAGCGGTTGGAGATGAAGTATGATTGCGTTCAACTATGGCTATATTTTAATTGTCAGTTTAAAACTTTCTTTCTGGATTCAACCTTTGATTTTTCAATGATTGGTTCGTATTTCCTTTTTTTTTTTTTTGTTTTGTTTTACAGATGTGGACCAGTAGTATTTGTCTTGTTCTGTAAAGCATTGAGGATGGTCGTACTTCTACTGATTTTAACTGCCTAAAGGTTCGAGCCAGGTGTTTCCTTGGGTTGGCTTTTGCATGGAATACTGGGATTGTTTATATGGGACTTAGAACTGAATGGAATGAACCTTTTGATGTCTCTTCACTAAATGGCAAGTCTTTACTCTTTTTTCGGTTTATCTTTTTTATTTCTGTGTGTTCTTTAGCTTTTGGATTATTTGGTATTTGTGTTTAGTTCAAATTACAAGTTTCAGGGTTGAAATGTAATGCTTTCATGTCTTATTGTTTATTATTATTATTTTTTATGTGAGGACTTTTTCCATTATTTTTTCTTTCCTTTTTTTTGTCGCTTTGTAGCCGATTGTGGAAGAGGCACTTAGCCGTTGGCACCATTGTTCTGTGTGAGAAGAGGCATAAATCAAACCACATAAGCCTGTTAACCAAAAAGAAAGAAAAAGAAAAACCAGATAAGCCTCTGCAATCAATTTTTGGACTGTCAGTAATATTGTTTTTGTTCTCTTTAAAGATTTGAATTTTCTAAGAGACTTTCAAATTATAAACGACGAAGTAAGGCCTGTGACAAATACAGATAGGTCAGCTATTGAAAGATGAGTTAATTCTTTTCCTTAATGTTGAGTAATTAGGAACCCTTTAGTTCAAGGAGGATCTCAAATATTTCATCTGGTAATTTTGCTCTTTATCTAATCTATTTTAATTTGCAATGTTCTTAAATTAGTTTTCAGTGTTTTGTACCATATAAATGGCATAGTTTTCAGAAAATCAGTATGTTGAAATTGGTTGCATTGAAAGATCTCGTCGGCTAAAGATTAAAAAAAAAGAAAAAGAGCAGTTCGTGTGTCCTGCTTTTGAGATAGTTTTAATATGTCAAGTTGACTAATTTCTTGGTGGTTGTGATTATGTGGTGTCTATTCTGAATTCATTAATTAACGTGAATGGCTGTCCGATGCTTCATAACATGATAGTCACGATCTGATGTTCGATTTCTGCTTAGTCAATTATATCAACATTCCTAAACTTGTCATACTATATTCAAAATTCTGTGTAGCTGCTGCCAATCTCTCATCTAACAGGTTGCAGGTCATTCTTGGCATTTTAGTTATTATCTGCGTATAGATAGCATTACACACTACATGTATTGTTTTACGCATATTAGGTGCAACTTAGACTACTCCTAGGCTCTAGCCCTTCGCGATGTGGGAAATTTAGTGCTGCTAATTGAGATGGATGTACAGGTGGTACTTTGAATGGGTGATAAATTACTTAAGATTTCATCTTTCTCATCCTATAATAATTCTGACCTTGTTGCTTTTCATTGCTTTCTACTGTGCTTCCTGTTGCTTTCTTTGACACCAAGTTGTCAAAGAGGTATTTCCAGAAGTTTTTAATGTGTGTTCTTTTTTAATAATTCATTTGAAGTTTCGAGACCTTTTTTCCGCTATTTGTACTCCTGAAAAAGAAAATAAAAGTGCACTCGGTATTTTGTGATGATTTTGTGCATTCTTCAATGATACAAAAACTATTGCAAACAAGTTACGCTGATGTTGAATGGTTTTGCAGCTATAGTTAGTTAATGTGGTCATCAGGCCCCCAATACTCGAAGTTGTGTGTATTCTTTTATCTCTTTATAAGCTCTGGTTTTGCAGCTGTAGTTAGTTAATGTGTTCATCAGGCCCCCGATACTCAAAGTTGTTTATGTGTATTCTTTTATCTCTTTATAAGCTCTCAGATTTTTTTGTGTGTTTCACTATGTTTGCTCTTTACTTTTTAATGGGCTCTAGAAAAATTTTCAAGTTTAGTAACCTGTTTGCATCTCTTTGTGAGTTTTATGTTTTGATATAGTTGGATTGAAGAGAAGTTCTTGAAGGCCCATATAAGTCCACATGTGGTTCTAACTCAAAATCAATTGACAATGATGGGAGTAGCACATGGAGTATATATGTTGATCAAATCGGGTTCTCAACTCCAATGTGGGACAAGTGTTTTTCACTTCTTTTTAAGTTCAAAAGGATTGTAACAGAAGTCTTTTTTGTCAATAACCAAAATGATTACTTAAAGCCTGTACACATTATAAAGGACGGTGGTTCCTTTGGCTTTCTAGGAATAGTTACAGGCTTATGATTTATTGATTTCATTGATGTGGATTATTGATGAACTTACCTTTCGCTTTCTTAGAATAGTTATTATTGATTTCATTGATGTGGATTATTGATGAACTGGAAGTGTCTTCAGCATGTCAAATAGTGATTGGTTTGATGACACTAAAAGAAAAAAATAGGTCTCAAGAAGCGTTCGGATAGAATTTTAAAGTGCTATAGGTTTGTTTGAATTAGAGGTATCCTGAACAGGATGGTTTTCCTGTATTTTGCAACGTCGTTATTTTTCATCTGAGGTTAAGAGCACTTAAATATCATATTCTATTGGTGAAGTTCCATTTTAATTAAGAGTTTGTTCCTTTTCCCAAAAAAAAAAAAAGAGTATGTTTAATTTTAAATTTTTCCTTATGTTTGGAGATGTGAATTCAGTCAAACTGCTGTGAAGTGGGTTTTGCTTTATTGTACGTTGCTGAATTCTTCTTGCATTTACATGCGAATGGAGTCTTTCTTTTGTGTTCTAAAATTTGAATCATCACAAGAACTGATGATTTACCATTAAATACTTCCCTAGCTCTGTAGTTCAGGGGCGGAGTTAGGCCCCAAACACTAGACGGGGCAAAAAATTTAGAGATAAAATTAGCTCGTGCAAAAAAAAAAAAAAAGACAATTATATTTAATAAAACTTACAAAGTTTTTTACAAAAGATTGTATTGGGAAAATCTTGTAAAATCATTTTATCACCAAGAACAATTTGTAAATGTGACAAAGTAACGGAAAAATCACAATTTGGATGACTTTGATTTTGATTGTTTGAAGAGATTGTGCTCTTCAGTATTTTATAATATATGGGAAGGACATGATTCTGTGTTCAAAATTAGACTTTTCTTTAGTCTTAGTAATTTGTAAATATCTTAAATAACCTTAGTTTATCTTTTAAAGTCTAACATTTGTCCGTTTACCACACATAATAAAACTCTAACTCTATGCATTCTTACATTCATTCACGTAGTAAAAGTTAGTAATTTTAGCTTTTTTTCCAACCAAAGTATATTTTACTGGGGCAAAAATTGGACATTCATGAAATTTAATATTGCATTAGGGGTACTTAGAAAATATTCAGCTGGGGCAAGTGCCCCACCTAGTTAAGCTATAGCTCCGCCCCTGCTGTAGTTAATTTTACTTTGTGCAGTTTCATAAAAATATTTTAGTCTATTTAATAAGTTGCGCGAAATAAATTCAAGCTGCGTTTAACAACACTCAAAAAGAAATGGACTAATTTGTTTAATCTCTTCTAGACACTGACGCACACATAGGGCATATATAGTATCGAGTCATCATATAAGAGACATTGATAGACATATTCTGTCTCAAAATCGTTGTTCAGTTTAAATTTTTATTTTTATAATTTATATTAAAAGTAAAATTTCAAACTAAATAATCATTTCAAGACGAATTATATACATGTTATTGTGCAATTTATAAATGTAAGCCTGCACTGCGATTGTATCATAACTGCTTCTGCTTGTGCTCGCTAACGTTTGAATTTTGTAATACTACCTCTATCCTAATGTGACTATTTTTTTTAAAAAAAATTTTTGGACGGAAAGTCGGAAGGTGCTTATATTTGTGCTGTGATGGCTGATAACAAAAAAAAAAAAAAATTTCTTAAAAGGAAAAAAAAATCAATTGAGAAAGAGAGAGAGACATCATATTTTTATTTATTTATTATCCCTTTGTATTGACTTGCTGAAAGTACAATGTTACGGACATTTGCCGCAACAACTAATAAAGGATTCATATTATTCACCGACGATGATAATAATAATAATAATAATAATAATAATAATAATAATAATAATAATAATAATTCCCCAGTGTAACATCTAACATGATCAGTATATTTGATCTCTGCCGGCAATACTTTGAGAATATAGGTAATGATTGGGATAACGAAATCTGTAAAAAAAAAAAAAACAAAAAAACAGGGAGTTAGCATCAATTTATTTTTGAATGGAACATTTGTGGCGGTACTCTTTACAATACAGGAATATCTCAATTTATTTGATTGAGATAGAACTGCTACTTTCCGCGGGTAAGCCGAGTTGATATCCAATCATATTTAATTGCTCAGAGATTCGCCCCCCTCCCCAAATCACATTTGAGAGTGTGAATTGGAAGCCCACTTATAAAGTGTTTATATTTGTTCAATAACTTCATTTTGGTCATAGATGATTCCAAACGATCACGAATCATATTACTACCAAATATAATATGATTGCTTAGAATTTTTTTGTTTGTTTTTTTTTTATGGTAAAATCTAATTATGGTATTAATTCACAACTATAATACCACTGTCTTTACACTTTTGTTTTAAAAAAGTGGGAACAAGAAAAGAATCCATCCCCACTATAAAAGTGGGGAAAACCTCAGCATATATAAATGATCCCTAATATTCCTTAAAAATCAATTATCATAATTGCTCAGATCGCGCTCCAAATCAACTCAGTTTATTAGTTCTCCACTTAGATAAGTTCATTCCCATAAATAAGCATTCCGACGTCTCCATAAATCTCCCGGGAAACCCTAAAGCATAAACATCCAAAGGCACACAATTGAGCAGAACCAAAACGAAATTCCATCTCCGATTCTCCATGTTGCCCTTTTTCGGTTACGACAAGATGTATGTGTTCTTCTTCATCTTCTTTCTTGCCCTTCTTCCAGCCACAAGATGTAATTCTGACCATTTCATTAGTAATGCTACTAATGATAATGACAAAATTCATGCAACCACGCACTACTCTTTTTTCCCGAACAAGCCCAAATGGAACCGACCATCTCCCATAATACTAAAATATACTTTCTTACCAGACCACATGATTCCGAGCGTGAGTCTGGCGGATATGAGGCTTATTTTCCAACGATCCTTTGGGCGTTGGGCCGCGGTGATCCCAGTGACCTTCGTCGAGACAAGCAATGTGAATCATTCCGACATCAAGATTGGATTTTATTTCGGAAATCACGGTGACGAAACGGTGTTCGACGGGTTGGGTGGAATTGTGGCCCACTCTTACGGGCCACCAATTGGCTTACTCCATCTCGACGGAGATGAACTTTGGGTGGTTAACCAGAAACAACCAAAATTTGGACTCGCAACTGATCTAGAATCAGTGGCGGTCCATGAGATTGGTCACTTACTAGGGTTGGCACATTCTACAGTTGAGTCGGCTATTATGTACCCAAATGAGTCACCTTACACTTTTACTCGAAAGGTGGATCTCACTAAGGATGACATTGATGGGATACAACAATTATATGGAGCAAACCCTAATTTCAAACCTGGTCCTAATTCGGGTAGCTCGAGCTGGAGTACTCTCATGGAGACGAGGAAGAGTTTTGGTTGGAGCATGCTTTTGGGTTTGGCGACGGTTCTCTTTTTTTGATCGGATTGACTGAGAGATCACAATTGAAATAAGTTTTCTCCATCCGCTGCTTTATCTTGTGATGATGCTTTAACGACGTGTAGTTTCAGTTTGGTTTCTTCTGTGATAGTAATAAAATAAGCATCAAGTTGTTTAAACATTAATTATCATGCTCATGATCAGGGTTCAACTATTTTATTTTATTTTTTTCTCGTTCATTTAAAGACTACTAGTATGTTATCTTTGTTCATTTTCAAATAGGAAAATATACAATAGGAAAAAGAAATCAATAATAATAAAAGAACATTGTACCCAGATTATAAAAACAGAGAAAAGGGAAATTGTCTGCTTACCATTATGAATTTACATATATACTACAGTTTAGGCAACAATTACTGTATCATATTGAAGATGTTATAATTATTCAAAAGACTTCCCTATACCTCATGGCATCAAGAAACTCCCATACATTGAACCGAAACTGCAGCAGGAATAGGAAAAGAGTAAATAAATAACTAACTATACAAATAGTATATCAATAGTATCTCTCGTGCCATTGTTCACATTAAACTCTTCACAAAATATTGGACTTGAAAATTGATTCTCAAATTCTTTCAACATTATTGTATGGGAGACCTTCTGGGCTACTCTATTTAATAAAAATGGATTTTCAGTCCGACGATCTTCGTTCTAATTCTGACTAATCAAACAATATACAATATTCGTTCTAATTCTGACTAATCAGACGGTATACTAAACACATATCTTAGAAGTACTTTTATTGTAATTACAAGTTATTATAAATGAGATGAAACCATTTGAAATGTTTTCGACAATTATAAATAATTACTTTTTATTATTATTTTAATGAGAAAGTGATATACACGAAGAGACTAATAAGCTAAAAATACTATATATATTTTTATTCCTTTTAAATTTTATATTTTATGTTATAAAATTATATATTTATCTAAAATAAAAATATAAAATAGTCGCGCAACGCGCGACAAAGAGTAACCTAGTTTCTTAAAAAAAAGTCAAATAAAATATCCAAATAACCAAGAAATACAAAATCTCGTCTATGGTTAATAAGCTAGGCATGAACAAACCTAGTTTGCGTAATACAAATTGTTATCACAAAAATAAAACACTAGGAATTTCACCCGAGTATGTCAAAGTCATTAGATATCACTGTTAAAACGTCTCAAAACTGGATACAATTGTGATTTACATCCAAAAGATAAAATAAAAAATCTAAAATTTACTTAAATAAATAATTATCTAAATTTATTGGTATATGCAACTATTATTTATAAACTACTAAATGCTCTAAAAAAAAGTAATAAATTCGTTTAGACCCAAAAAAAAATTCTTTTTCTGAAAACTCTTAATAATTCATTAGTATGTACACGCCGGGTGCTTTCCCCAAAAAAATCCTGTTCAGTTAGGAGAAGTTAGAATTTTTATTATCTTTTTTTTTGTGGACATTTTGTAGGCATATCGGAATCTCAAAATCCGATTTCTTAATTTACTTAGTAAATTGTATTCCATAAATCTGATTTTATATTATTTATTAAAATATTATTTTCTAGCAATTTCAATATTATTTCCTGTGATTTCAAAAGAATAGAAAATTTAAAAATAAAATCGGATTTCGAATATCTGATTTAAAATAAAACTTAAAAAAAATTGAATTTCCAGCTATTATAATTGGGAAATTCTTGAATTACAAATCCGATTTATATTTATTATGGTTGATTAAGGTCAGCGAACATAATAAATATCAACGGATTCTAAAAATCCGACTTAAGAAAAATCAGAATCTAGGAATCCGATTTGTGTTTTAAATCGGTTTCCTATAATGCATTTTATTTAAAAATGAATTCTAGCTTTCCAGTTTCTTTTTAAATTGAATTTCTGAAACTCGGTTTCTTTTTATTATAAAAGAATGGAAATCGGGTTTCGCTGTTCACAATCCGAAATTTTGTTGGGTTCTTTGGGCGGCGAATTGGGAATTTTCTCCAAGAATTATTGAAAGTAAAGTCTTGAATCATCATCCAAAGGAGGTTAGTGATGATTCTTATGGGTTTTAATAGAATGAGTGATGTTTTATGTGACTCATATGATTTTCATAGAACCATTGTTTATAGTCTATGAAAATTTTGAATTTTTACCATTTTGTATAAGAAATTTGATGTTTTATGCGAAATGTTATGGTTGATTTGAGAATGTATTGATATGCACATAGTGTTAAAGATGATGAAGGTTAATTTTTGTGTATTTTTGAGATTTTAGTCTCTATAATGGTTAATGTATTGTTGTAGATAAGTAAGGATGTTGTGTAAAACCATTGTTGATTGGTTTGAGTTTAGGGTTTAATTAGGTGTTGTTTGTTTAGAATGCATTATTGAATTGTAGAAGTTTAGGGTTTAGTGTGTTGTTTCTTTGTGTTTAGGGTTTAGGTTTATTCGGATAAAATTGTTCATAATATTTGACAAATGATTGTTTGTGTAATCAACAGATGGAAATGGCGTTTAACAGCCCATACATTCTGAATGTGTTTTGGACAAGTAAGTTTGTTATAGAGAATAGAGTTATTAATATTTTTAATAACTTGGCGGATGCATCTATGGTGATTGAGCGTAGATTGTCTTACAATGAATTGGTCGGGAGGATTTGTGAAAGAGTTGGGTGGAATAGAGACATTGGAAAATTGAACATGTCACTATTGTTTGATAATAGTGGTAACGGGTCAAGGCGTTACGCGATAATCAAGGACGAACCATCATTAGAAGTCCTGTTTTTTTTTTCTATTTGGAAGTGCATGGTTGGATTTGTATGTGGATACAGAGGATATTACTCACTCTAAGAGGGCATGGAACCCGACAAGCAATGCGCATGGTAGTGGTTCACGCCGAAAAGAGAGGGGTAGTTCTCGGTCCCATGTAGAAGCAGGGACCAGTCGGGATGGGTCGTTGTTTCAAAATCTAGCTAATGAGGATTGTATGGAAGACCACAGTGATCCGGGCTACGAGGACCCGGCTAATGGGGATTATATGTATTACATTGATCCGAACGATTCGGACTACACATTAGGGAGTGGTGAAAGCGAGGAAGGGCGTTCAGTGTCTTCGGAAAGTGATGATAGCGGTTATGAATCCGTGGAGTTTAAAGAAGAAGAATTAGTAACTTCCGTACCAGGGAAGCACATATATAGCGAAATGGGCAAATGGGATCCGTCCAGTGTTGACAGAGATGAATTCAGTCTTCCTAAGTGGGATGGGACACCCGATTCTATAAAGTTAGGCACTTACTTCAAGAAGAAGAAAGAAGTGCAGAATGCTATAAAGGCGTGGAGTGTCTCAAGACAGAGGGAGTATATGGTTAACGATAGTGACCGGAAAACGTGGGCTGTGGAGTGCAAATTTTTAAAACACCCTCCTGTTGAAGGTTATACTCCATGTTTGTGGCAGATGCGTGCCTCGTCGAAGGACCACAAGTTGTGGGAAATGGTGAAATTGAACAATGCACACAATTGTTTGAACGCCACCAAAAAGAATAATCATCGGAATGTGAGTGCCTCATTCATCGCTCAACTCATCATGCATTAGGTTAAAGTTGACATGGATTATAGTGTCGCGTCAGTTCAAGCCCATGTGAAAGAGATGTTAGATGTGGATGTTAATTTCAAGAGGGCATGGCGCGGAAGGCAAAAAGCGATCGAGTTTGTTTATGGCGATTGGGTCTCAAATTTTGTTGATCTTCCAAGGTATTGTTTTTTTTTTGTGTGTGTTTACGCGTATGTTTGTATGTTAAGATTGTTTGGTTGTGTGTCATTGACTACATTCTGATTTATTTATAGTTAGGTACTTCACAGTACTTGTAAAGAGCAATCCGGGCACAATGGTAGAGTGTGAGTAGCAAAAAGATTGGACCCAGAAAGAAAGGACATTCAAATATATCTTTTGGGCATTTAAACCTGCTGTTGATACGTTTTGGAAATGCCCCCCTGGTTGTTAATATTGACGGTACGCACTTGTGTGGAGGCTACAAGGGGAAGTTACTTGCCGCGATGGTCAAGACCGCAAATAAACTTATATTGCCAATCGTGTTTGTGCTGGTAGATGAGGAGACCAAAGAAAGCTGGACGTTCTTCTTGAAACATTTGAGACACCAGGTCGTGAAGGATAGAGTTGTTTGTATTATATCCGACCGACACAAAGGCATCATCGCTGCGATGACCCATATGGAAGAATGAAACAAACCTGGTCAAGCATATCACAGGTTTTGTTTTCGACACATCCACAACAACTTGGTAGCTATATTCAAAAGTAAGAGAATCCGGCGTTTGTGTTGGGAAATGGGCGAAAAGCTTTTATTAAGAAAATTTAAAGAATACAGGCAAGAGTTGTGTGAATTCAATGTGGAAAATGATCTGTGCCAATGGACTCTTGTAAAGGGTGGACACCATCGTTGGGGTAATTTGACGACGAACATATCTGAGAGTTATAATAATGTACTGAAAGGTGTCCGTTTCCTCCCTATTAGAGCATTGGTGGATGCAAATTTTCACAAGATCGTGCTTTTGTTCCTGGAAGAATATGAAGCATCGTTAAAATACATCACTCCGGTCCTTACAGAGCTGTGGGAGGACTTTGTGAAATATAAGAAGGGAGCGGTAGGTCACAAAATTGATAGTTATCCGAATGCTAAGTTCAAGGTGACAACAAAAATGCGGTTAGGTGGTAAGGGTGGCAACACGTAAACAGTGAGATATCAACAGAAAAGATGTTCTTGCAAGAAGTGGCAATAATATAGGATGCCTCGCTCACACGCATAAAAGTCGATGAACAAAGTAAATTGGTTTTCCTTTTTAATTTTTTTTTTTTGGGATTTTTTTTTCTCATCTTATTTGATTGAGTTTTTGAATAAAAAATGAATATTGTGCTGCCCTATTGTGTTTTCCGAATTATTAGCACTAGTACTAAGTTCAGATTGGCTACTTAAACTAAAGTATAAATTTGATAACCTGGTCAAATCGTAACCTTTTATTAGAAATTTATGGGTTGTTATGATGTGAACCCAGAAATTTGAATAAACGTTGTGCGTTTATTCTGTTGGTTTACTCTATTGGATTGTGCATTTACTTTGAAAAATCAGGATTGCCAAGTATTGAACTTGTATTGGTTTACTCTGTTGGATTGTGCGTCTTCTTTTGTTTTTTTTTTTTTTTCATTTTCCTTATAGTTGTTTGTTGTTTTGCATGTAAATTTAACTCGAAGAAAACAAGACCATTATAATTGCCAAGTATTAGATTATACATCAGTTCTTATATTTGAAAGCTTACACAGTTCAACATTGCTCTTTTGCTCTCAAAGTAATGGAAAGTTTGTATCTGGACTAATAAAGGTCTACTTGTTTTAAACGGTCTTTTATGTGCTCTTTGCTTCTTGCTCAGAAATTGGTACGGCTATGATTTTTCAATGATGTCGGAGATCTCCATAATCTTAGAACCGAGAGCGACATTCTGATTTAAGCTATGTCAAAATCTGATTTGGAAATTCTGATTTTTTTTCTCATCTTGATAATTTCTACCATGTGCCAAAATCTTTGTTGGTTTAAGCTATGTCATTGTTTCATTCGAGTTATTTTGTGCAACAACATCAGTGTTAAGGATTTTGTCTTCCACAACCACAACCACAGTTTGTATCGAGATATTTAACTCTATTAGTTTGTTTTGTATCATATATTGTGAAGTTGAGCTATGGAATAGTAGTTTATTTTCTCTTTTTATTGAATTTTTGTAGGTGTAAGAATATTGCGAGTTCATTCTCGTAACACACTCAAAAATATCTTGAACCGGGTCCGATTAATAAGGAGTTGTTATATATGCAAGATTACTATAGGTCTAATGCCGTCTTTGAAGATATAGCTCTAAAAATTAGGTTGAAAAGGTTCAAATGTAGGAGATTTGATCACCGATTCTGGGAGGTTATAAAAGACGCCCCTAAACCTGTAATAGATAGGATTACCTGAGTCGGTTTTGGGGGGGGTCTTGAAAATTGGGGAAATTACCCTTGACCATGCAGTAATAACTGCCTTGGTGGAACGGTAGCGTCCTGAGACCCACACGTTCCACTTCTATGTTGGTGAGGCCACAATCACCCTCCAGGATGTTGAGTTGTTGTTTGGGCTCCGCGTGGATGGTCTCACCGTCTTGGGGAGAACAATCGTTTTTGATAGGGCTCAGTGGATTGAATATTGTTACAATTTGTGTGGTTTTGCTCCTAGCGCTGCCCATTTCAAAGGTTATAAGATATATGCGGAACCCCTTGAAACCGAGCTGAAACACAAACTGCCAATAGACTTACCTGATGATAATGAAGCTTACGACAAGAGGGCTCGGGCTTTTATTCTGTATTTATTGACTTCCTTCTTGTTCGCGGATAAAAGCGGAAACATGATACCTCTATGCTATTTGATACACATTGAGGATTTAGAGTCATGTGGACAGCTTAGTTGGGGTTCATCAGTTTTGGTGTTTGTGTATAATGGCCTGTGTAATGCACGTCAATTCGGCCATAATGACGTGAGCGGCTGCATTGTATTGGCACAGGAATGCTTTGGTATTTTGATTTTGATTTTTTTTTGCTATTGTTATTCTTAAATTTAGTGTTGTTAACTGTTACAGGTTTAGGCTTGGGAGTGCATTCTAAGGATTCAACCATCAAGAACATCGTGCCTCTTGATCCTATTATGGATCCGAAGCGCCATTAATTTAACTTTTTATTGAATTTTTTTCTATTTCCTCACAACTACATGTATCTTCTGCCTAAATAGGTGGAATTGCTCGCTCTCTTATGCAAATATTCCCTAGGGCTGTTTACCTCTGATCAGGGATCAATTAGCTCTTATAAGGGATAGTGATGTAAGTATTTTTTTTTCTCATTGTCATGTATTAATTATTTATTTATTTTTTTCGTTGTTACTTTTTCTAAACTAACCTTGCTTCTTGTTTTTCATTTATGCAGTTTGGAAAACGAGGACTTGGATTTTCTTCCAATCCATTAGGGAACCTCATGAGCCTAACTGAATTTTACGTCAGTTTAATTGTTGGTAAACTCTTCCTGAGGACACATTGATCTGTTGTGACATTAAGGTTTGGAGGGCTATACACAAAGAAAATAAAAGGGACGGGGAAATCAAGCAAGGGATGGAAGGCCTTTCATGATGATGTCAACCCGCATTGGGATAATAGGTTGTCTAATATGGTAGAAGGTGAAGAAGTAACAGAGGGCCTGCAGCCTCAAGCTGTCACTGATTACCTCCCTTGGTTTCATAGGCGAACTGTGACACTCATCAGTGATCCAGAAAAATACGGGTACCGGACTCAGGGCTATCAGCCATCTTCAGCACGCGATATTTTATACGTAAGAATTTCAATTAATTTTATTACTAATAACCAAATAAATACAAATTTTATATTACAATTTTATTTTTGTAGGCCGACACCCTCAACGATATTTATCACATTGTTGATAAGTATCGTACCAAGTACCCGACCAGAGACCGTGCCCTTAATGCAATGATTGAGGAGGTACTCAATAGCTCCTTCATTGCCTTAACTATTGGTCCTGACGCTTTGAACACAGTTTCTAGTCAGAGACTTCTAGAAAGTCAACCGACTCTATCCCAACAGCCGTAATCCCCTCAAAAGAAAGCTCCCAAAAAGAACATTAGAGGTGGAAGAAAGAAATGCATGCCTCGTCCATTACAAACCGACTATGGCCAATCAAGCACGAATTAGAGAATTGTTCCATTTTGTGATGCATGATAGTCGACGAGGAAGGACATAATGAGGAAGAAAGCGAGGAAGAGACTACACCCCCTCGTAAAGAATCCTCCTAAAAAAAAAGAAAGTACAACGGGTGGGCTCTAGGAAGCGTACAAAAACCAAATTGTATACTCCGCCTTGAATTCGTTTGGAAGCGCAACATTTTGCCTTTTATTTTGAACTTATTTAGGGTTTGGATTTTTCCTTGTATATTGAACTTGTTTGGGGTTTGGAGCTTGAATTTTTAGTTCTTCTATGTTTTTAAGACAACTATTATGTTTGAAATAGTATGTGATTTTGTTTTGTGCTATTTTGTGTTGATTTTCAATGGTAAATCTGGTTTCCAGCTGTTGGTACAGGTTTGGACTGGTTAAAACGAAGTCTAGGTTTTTTTTTTTAAGGTTGCTGTTTAAAATCAGAATTTGAGAATTTGATTTATATCTCCAGCAGAAAATGGATTCTTAAAATCCGATTTTAATAAAAATGGATTTATGGATTCTGTTATATATATATTTTTAATTTCCTGAAGTAATTTAAAATTACTTTTTTAAAATAATATTTTATTGCTACAAAATCGAATTTCTGAAATCTGATTTATTGCCAAAATATAATTTGGAAATGATTAGTTTCTAATCAAAACAAAATCGGATTCCAGTTATCCGTATTGATATAAAATCGGATTTATGGAATCCGATATGCCTATTTCTGGCTTTTTCACCTTCCGGTGTCTAGTTCTGTCTTTTCAAGTTTGAAGAGCATTTTTTTGAACAAAAACTCTGTGCAGGCCACACTTATGTATAGAAAAGAATTCTGTTAATTTCTCTTTTACAAGAACTTAAACTTTTAATTTTCATAATTCATTACCCAAACTAAAAATAATATATTGCCATTTTATTAATTTGCTACATTTTTTTATTTTTTTTTTTGCAAAATGCAAACTCTCGGTAGTGAATAATATGAGAGTATCTCAGTTTAATGATGAAATACCTCTTGTGCTTTGTTGCATTGTAACAATTTTTGTACTAAATTAAATTTCATTAACAGAAAATGGCCAACCACACCCATTCATTCTGCACAAGTAATATAGTGTTAAGAGTAAGGCTCTGTTTGATAATCACTTAATATAGTGACTTAATTTATTTAAGTAATTAATGAAATTAAGTGTGTTTGATAATCGCTACTAAAAAGTTTTAATGAATTAAGTTCTGAATTAATTAAGTACTTATAAATTAAGTGCGTTTGATAACTAAAATTTCACTGTCTGAATTAATTAAGTGTGTCTGAATGACCAGTTCAATTGTGAGCCAGAAAATAAGTGATAGGCCTATCACTAATTATCACTTATCACTTAATTTTTGTGTAACTCTTTTTTTTCTTTTTTCTTTTTTTCTTTTTTTCCCCTCGTCTTTATTTTGTCGCTTATTTTTACATTGTTTTTAAAATTTTAATTTTCTTAAGATAAATTAATTAAGAGTGCTTAAAGTTGAATTTATATTATGTGTGTAAAAGATCTTAAACTTTCAAACTCAGATTAAACTAATTTTAATACATGAAATTTACTAAATAACAAGGTATACACATATATGTAATAATCTAAATTTAATTATATATTGATTATTTACTAATTGTAACATCTACTTTCATTATATATACAAAAACTTATTTCAAAATTATTATTTTATTATTTAGAACAAAATATTAGTTATTTTTCTATTTAAAAGAATTTTGTTTATAATTCAATTTTAATGATATTAAAATTTTAAATAACTTTCAGACATGAGTATTCAGATTCAGTCTTCAGACATCATATTCAGACGTTTTTATCAAACGATGTGAATTCAGTTTTCAAGACTTCAGACTTCAGTGTTAAGTGTTCAGATTCAGACTTCAGTGATTATCAAACAGACCCTAAATATGTAGTTGATTTGGTACTCTGTTACCAGATGACCATGATAAATAAATATTTTTGTGTTTTAATTATATTTTTTCAAAATCCATAGTTGCCATTCATTTGACGGCACTATATATATATATGATCGAAAAAATCTTTAATACTGTAAGTGTAAAATTCGATAGTAATTACGAGTAAGTTTTGTTTTTTTTTTTCCACCAAACCGTTGAGAGTGTGGATTGGGAGCTCGCTTATAAATTATGCTAGATGTTTGGCCCAGGCAGATGCCCGGGCACCCCTTCTAAATTATTATTTTATTAAAATGTAATTGAATTACTATTTCTTGAGGAATTAATTTGGCGTATATATCATTTATGCTATGGTTTGGGGCTTAAAAAATATTACCTATAAATCTGAGGTTATAAGGGAATAATAAATAATTAGTTTATAAGGCATTATTCTTAATTACTGGATTTAGGTTTTTTTTATTTTTTATTTATATTAAGCCTGCAAAACTGTACGATTGGACATTCGAATTTGAATTAATATATCCATTCGTTTGAAATGTAACTGATTCTTATTTGTATAATTTTTTCATTGGACTCGGGTCACATCTGAAACATGTGTTTTTTTTTAAAAAAGAATTATATAGCTTCTAATTAAAAGAGACTTACACGTGGCAAAAAAACTCCTGAAATATGAAATATGGTGCATTGGAGCCAAAACAGATGCATACGTAGTTGCCACATAAGCTTCATGTCTTCTGTTTTAATAGGGTAAAAGGGATTTGTTCACGAACTTCATTTTGGTAATAGATGATTCCAAATGATCACGATTGATATGATCGCCCAGATTTTTTATTTTTTATTTTTTATTTTGTGTAAAACTCAAATGTGGTATTACCTCACAACAATGATACTCTTTACACTTTTCGATCTTAAAAAGTAAAGAAAAGAAAAAAAAAAAAAAAAAAAAACACCCCCCCTACAAAAGTGGGAAAGAGTTTATGCATATGATCTCTAATTTTCCTTGAAAAATCGAATATCATCATTATTACTCAGAGATTATGTTCCAATTTATTAGTTCTCCACTTAGGCAAGTTCATTTACATAAATAAGTATGGCTACGTCTCCATAAATCCTCTCTCTGGAGACCCTAAAAGATAAACATCCTGTCACAAAATTGAGCACTTTTTTCCGTTAGGACAAGATGTACTATGTGTTTTTCTTAATCTTCTTTCTTGCCTTTCTTCCGGCTAGAAAAAGTATGGGAATATCAGTCAACGGAAAACTCGACAATGATACCATGAACCTGATTGCCACACCAAGTGGAGAACTAATAAATTCTGACCAATTCATTAGTAGTATTTGTAATTATGATGATGCAAAGTTTCATGCAACCATGCACTACTTGTTTTCCCGAACAAACTCAGATGAAACCGAACATCTCCCATAAAACTAAACTACACTTTTTTACCGGACCACATGATTCAAAGCTTGAGTCTAGTGGATATTAAGCTTACGTTCCAAAGGGCCTTTGGGCGTTAGGTAGCAATGATTCCCATGATATTCGTAGAGACAAATGATGTGAATTATGCGGACATCATGATTGGATTCTATTTTGGATATCACGGTGATGATAGTCCGTTCGATGGGCTGTTTGGAATGCATGCCTACTCTTTCCCGCCAGAAATTGGGCTACTTCATCTTGATGGAGACGAACTGTGGGTGGTTGATCCAGATAAACTAAAATTTGCATTCTCTACCGATCTAGAATCAATGGCGATCCATGAAATTGGCCACGTACTAGGGTTGGGACATTCTAGAATTAAGTCGGCGGTCATGTACCCAACTACACCACCTAATAAACGAATTGTGGATCTCACTAAGGATGACGTGAATGGGCTACAACAATTATATGAGGTAAACCCTAATTTTAAACCCGGTCCTAATTGGGAGAGTTCGAGTTTGGAGTACTCTCGTGGAGACAAGGAGTTTTGGTTGGAGCATGCTTTTGGTGACGATAGTTCTCTTTTCTTTATTGATTGAGAGATCACAATAGAAATAAATTTTCTCGGTGGGGTAATATTCTAATCGGAAATTTTGTCTTCTGATGCTTTGTCCTGAAGTTTCTTTTTGGTAGCATCAAGTTCTTTAAACATTATTATCATGCACATGATCAGGGTTTAACCATTTTTCCATTCATTTAAAAGGCTATTATATATTGTTATTTTGCTCATTGTCTTATAGCTTCGGGTTTCAGTTGTACATACTTTGATTTATCCTACCATTTGAAGTTTTTTAAGCTGGATATTCTGGTTTACCAAAATGTTAGTTTGAACATTTTGATGGAATTGTTGATGAGCTGCTGGGTTTTATCCTCAGTTACCACTAACATTTTGGAGTCCATTGTGCTAATCTATACACTGGGTTTTCTAACTTCAGAACTACTCAAAAATTTACAAAATCAATGTCGAAAGGAGACCTTAGTGATGCTAATGTGCTTGTCATGTGATTGTGAGAGCCTGAGAGGTAATGTGTAACTATTGGCAAAAGAAGGCATGTGAAGGAATAAAAACAACAACAAAAACAAAAAGCTTAGAAACTGTATGACAAGTTCTTGCATATATATTCACTGTGTCCCAAAAATTATTGTCTAATTTATATTTTCATTTTTAATTCAAATTGTAGTGAAAATCTAAAATGGATAATAATTTTGGGATAGGAAGAGTACTATCTAGAACATGGCAGTTGCTACAAAATCCAAAAAACCTTAAAAAGTTACAAACATTGTAACTCGATCTGATTGTAAAACTTACAGCAGATACAATTTTGATACATAACCCGAATCTACATTGTCTCACTTAGCCATACATCAATATGTTTGTACATGGGAGGACAAACCTCTATCTTCAGAGAAAGGAGGACCAAATTGACTTTTATCCCCAAACAGGAAAAGCGGCCTTCAAATTCTGTAACTTAAACACCAACTGATGGGAAAGAGTGGAGTATACAAAACTACTTGTATAAAAGAGCCAGAATACAAACATGGCTTAATCCCATTGATTTTACGATTCATATAGGGCGAAACAAGTGAGAATAGTATATCTTTACACTAAGCGCGAAGACTCAATCAATGGAATGGTACGAGGTAATTCCCACAATGGACTGACTACGTAGATCGGAATCGAGATAGAAATGCGACAATTGGAATTAGAATATAACTACCTAGAGACTCCGTCAAGGTCTCTTGTCTTGCTACTAGCTCGCAAAAATAAGTAGAAGAAAAGAAACCGTCGGAAAAGCAACTTGCATTAAATGGCTACACATTGAAATTTTTTACTTAGAGGTTTGGTTTCTTGCAAAAACTTAAATAAAGCACACAAAAAGAAGGATGGCCATTCTAACTAACGAAAATTCGGACTGAAGAGGATTAAATATTTTGGAAGATGGAAAATGTTGTAAGATAAAACCTCAAAGAAACAACCCTACTAAGTACTAATCCCACGCGTAATAGATCAACTAAGAACAGATAGGTGCATGTTTTTTTAAAATAAAAAATCTCAAATAAAAGATCCAAATAATTACCAAGAAATACAAAAGTCATACCTAGTTTGTGGAATACAAATTGTTATCACAAAAATAATTAAACACTAGGAACCTAAAAGTCATTAGATATCATTGTTAAAACATCCCAAAACTGGGAAAGGGGAAGAATTCGAAATTACATTGTCCATTGCCTCGTCGATTAGAGTAACTCGACAGGCAGGTCAACAAAGGATTGCTGAATTTACACACTTTAATTTTGATTCTGGGGCTCCATTAAACATCGACAAATCTTTCATCCATTTATCCAGATGACTGTAATGATTCTCGTAATTGGGAATAATTATTGATGGCGAATTCATATTTTTGTGTAATATACTCCCCCTCGTTTTAATTACAAGAGCCAAGACACAAACTTGAACTAATTTTTTAATGTTAATTTGTGGCTTATAACTAGAATCGAATGGAGTATATATATTCATCAAAGATATCAACATTTCGAAACTGGAATAAAACTGTAGTGGGGGCTGAAATGGCACAAGATTTTCTGTGCCACTTTCTTGTGAGAGTCACTGTGATACAATCCAATTACTCCTTATAAATTATACAATTTGTGCTAATACGTATACCATAGTCACATATTTTCAATGTAGATAATTTTCATATTCTTATTTTATTTTTTATATCAATGTTTATTTTTTTTATGAAACTTGACTATTTTATTGAATTTTTTAACTATAAAAATTAAAATAAATAAGCCCTAACCCGTAAAAAGTGAACCTTTAGTCCTAAAACATATAAGTTCGAAAGTGATTGTGAATCGTATATATATTAACACAAATTATAAAATTTATAAGGAGTAATTGGATTGTGTCACAGTGAATGTCACAAGAAAATGGCACAGAGGATTCTGTGCCGGCTGAAATATATTAATTTTTTGTATTAATGTAAGTATTTTCATAGTACGATATCTTATAAAGTCATCATCATATTAGATTATGTTAATTATAAAATTTTACACCTATCGCAACAAAAAAATTTATTCGAGAATTTGGCATCTGATTATACAAATAATTTTTCACTATACTCATAAAAAAAGTTCTTTCTATGATAGTTATATCACTATGTTTCTATCTTTTGACACATATAGGGAGCATAAAGGTGGTATGCTATAAAAGAAAAAAAATGTGTTACTAGTAAATGTTTTAGATAGGATGTTGATAAATATATGATTATATTGTTGAATGAAGTTTAACATCATTAGTATAATAATAATAATAATAATAATAATAATAATCAAACTTTATATGATTTTATAATGATCTATATGACTTAAACTAATTTAATTTCACTTTGAATTTGGGGTTGGACTATTCTGATTGGCCCAAAACAAAATTATGGAAATTACATAAAACAATTTCGCCCAAATTACAAAGATATTACAAAATTAATTAGCATAATCAAATTTAAACAAATTAATATTATTAATTTAGGGTGGGTCCAGCGGGGCTATGGCCCCCGTTGCCCCACCGTAAACCCGCCACTGGTTATCAAGAAGTTACATCCTTATAACCTGGGAACTTTTAAAAATTTAACAATAATATCCATTTACTAAAAAAAATCACCTTCAAATTCGTTTTAAGGAAAATAATGAGCAGACCCCTAAAATGTCCTCGTATTTTGCAGCATAACCATCAAGAAAGTTGAATACATCCTCATCCCTATCGTAAAGCAAACATCAAACACTAGAATGGTATATGAAAATGTTTGTCACAATTATTTGCAGGACAATCTGGAAAGTAGAGATAAGAGTCTTAAGATGTAGAGTTAATAGAACTACGATTTCAAAAACTATTGAAGAAAAAAATATAACTACCCTCCGCCTCGGGGGGCAGGCCGTTTAGGTCGAAGAAAGGCCGACCCGATCCCCTACTGTTGGAAGCTTCCATTTCCGATGCTTTGAAAGGTATGCACGGTTCAGAGAGCACTTGAGTATGTACTCACTCTATCTGAAGACTTAATATGAGCTATGAAGTGTTACAAGCAAGCATCTCTATTAGAAATGAAATGATACATTACTTTTTTTGACGCCTTAATTAATCAGTGTCCTGTATTGGATGGTGTTTCTTTTAATTAATTTGGATAGTCCCGTATCTTCAAAGTCTCACCCTTAATTCAATGGTGTAAGTCCATGTCTATTGGGTAAATTAAGTTGAGGCGATTAGGGAGATCTTATGATCAACTTCCCATGATGGATCCAACATATAAAATGTAACGCTATGGTCCTAAATTCGACAACAAAATTGAGAGTTCAGAAGGCAAGGGAAAAGAACGGCGGAATAGGAGCAAATTTAATTAGGGATCGGGAAGAAGAAATGGGGAAGAAAAGGAAATTGGGGGAGAAATTAGGTTTCAGAATTAAACTTTAATCCATCGATAATCAGTACAAATGTTTTCCAACTATTTAACCCAAACACTACTCTTATCAAATTTACAACCAGGTCCTTTATATTTAAAGTAATTTAAAATAACCCCTAAAAAGCTGCATGACATAAAACTAATACCTTTCACAGGCTTCGACAAGCTAGTGGGCTATTTATTGTCACATTGGTACAAATTGTGAAAAGTAAGTAAATGAGCATTGCAATCACACAGGTCTATCGAGCCAAATATACAGTTATAGGCGAACTTGCAAAAATGACTTATTCATTAGCTAAATTAGAAGTTGGATTTTGGGCTTCGTACCCAAGCTAACTTCTGCACAATCCCGGAGGTTGAATTCTGGGGTGCACTTTATAGTCTTCAAACAGCCCTCGGAGTTAGGATTTCGTATAGAAATGGGCAATTTATAAGTAGTCTATCTTTTCATAAATGATCATTCATCATTTGTGAATAGCAATGTATTATATAAAATTCTCTGTTTGGTTCATTTTTTTAATGATTTTTTCATATTTTATTATTATTAAATGTCCCATTCTAACATAATTTTTTACATTTCCAATACACTTTTTTACATTCTCAATAGAAAAATACCTAAAAAAACAATCCAAACATATAAGAGTCTACTAAATCTCCAATGACAAGTTTGTACAATCTATGGCCATCCACTTCAAAACAGTTTAGCAGCAAAATGTAGATTTTCTTGATTTTATGGGAAACAAATTTTCCCGACTCCAAGTAAAATCATGAAAATTGCCGACTCCAATAGTAAATTCCCATCCCAACTTCAATGGGATATTATGTAATCAAGTCTTTAGACTAACTCATCATACATATTTTTTTTTTAAAAAAAAAAGAAGCTAAATTATAACTATGATCTCCACCTTATTGTATATTTTGTTGAGATCTCCGGATGAAAAAATATAACAAAAAAAGCTATCGTTTCTCTTTCAAAGATTTATAATATAATAATCAAGCGTCATAGTTTCTCAATAATACTCCACTTAAGTGGTCTTTTAGTAGACTTAATAGTCCGCTTGTTCTTTTCTCCCTAGCTAATACTCCCTCAGGTCCTTTCTTATTATTAGGTGTATTTTTTTCATATTATTATAAGGAGCTATTTTAGAGACGTTAGCGTGATATTTTGAAACACAATGAATGATAATTAGTTTCTTAAATTAGTTTTTTTTTTTCATTATGGATTTCAGCTCAAAATTCTGGGTCATTAACGTATGTGTATGTTTCTGATGAAAGTGTCGTCCAACGTTAATCCCGGGCGCGGGCCAGGTACGTAAACTTTCGGTAAGATAGTATTCCGTAGAGGACAATGTCAGAATGGAAGAGTTTTTAGGGTTAATATCAAAAACACTCTCGAGGTATATTTGATTATCAAAGTCGCCCTCAGATTTTAAGAAAATATCAGAGACCCCCCTTGACCGGCGGGTCAACCATCGAATTTATCCTTTGCTACCGGAAAGATGACATAGAGTTATGACATCCGCAAAAAAGACGATTGTGAAGACGATGTTACCCTTTTCATTACTTCTCTTTTCTCCTTGTGCAAAATCGTTTCTGGCTTTGGCTCAAACTTTTAAAGAAATCAAAACAAAAACACCCAAACCTAGAAGAACAATGGATCTTCAAAAAGTAAACAACATTCATTTGAACCAATTTCATAGAGAATCTCGCCACAATTTCTTATTCAAATCTCAAGTTCTAAAGGAATGAAATTTTCAGTGTGTGGAAGAAACCCTTAAACAATATTCTCACAAAGAGAAAACAAATATCAAAAAGGCCATAAACAAATTTGAGGTCTTTTAATCATTTTAAGTTTCACCAGTGAAGGGGGGTGTTTGATATTTTCTCAAAAGGTGATGGTATATTTGATAATCAGACATTCCTCTGGGGTGTTTTTGATATTAACCCTAGTTTTTAAAATCTTTTTCCCCCTTAATACGGCTAACAAAACAACTTTTATATATGTCATTTACCCGAGTATTTTCCTACTCTTGTATGTTTGTCCCGAAATAATTATTTAATTTTTATTTTTATTTACAAATTTTACTTATAGTATATAATTTTGATTAAAAATTAAAATGTAAACATAACCATCATTTTGAGATGAGGGAAATATAGTTTAGTATGTAACCCTGCAACGATATTGTAGTCATATATCGTACTTCTCTACCGTTGAAGTGTTGAACTTTATCTCACTAGTATATGTGCTGTGATAGAACCATTTTTGTTTGAAGTAAAAAAATAAACAAATCCTTATTTAGAATGCAAAATATACTTCGTGGGGAAAAAAAATTCAATTGATTTTCACAGGTATGCAATAGTACTAGAGAGAGAGAGAGAGAGAGAGAGAGAGAGAGAGAGAGAGAGAGTAGCTAATTTTTGTTAATATATGGTGGCGCTGCGGAAGTAGAGAAGAAATGGTGTGGATGTTAATTACTAGTTTACTTGATCATCAAACCACTAAGATCCGAACTGGATGCGATCACATGCATTATGCGATTCCATAACTTAGTTTAATCCAATAATCTAAGGTTTATATTTGTTGCCTCGATGATAGTGCCATGTTACGAACATTTGTCTTAAATATTAAGGATTCATCTTATCCATTGTCGATAATACTCCTAATTGTTTAATTCCCCCTCTAATATGATCAGTATTTGATCTCAACCGGCACTGCTTTGAGAATATAGTATATAATGATTGGGTTTAACTGATTCTCTGTAAGAAAAACCAAGGAGGACGGTACTTATAACATAAATTATTTTTATGGAACATTTGTTGCAGTACTTTTACAACACGGGATTAATATACGCATGTCTCATCATCGTTTTTGATCGATCATCAAGTTAAATGATTGTTACTCATGAACACTCTGAATTAATTCATCAATCTTTCTAATAACTTAAAAAAAAAAAAAGACTCTTCGCATATATTTATAATCTTTATCTTTAAATCGTAAGTAAGACGCAGAGAGGTCGATGACAAAAGATCATACAGTATGGATTGCTAATTAGATGCGTACTGCATGATGCATTTTATTTATCAACACAATCTCATAAAATTAGTCTGTTTAAACTTTTTTAACTTTCCCAAAATATATAAGCATCACATACATATTTGTCCACACTCGTTTTATCTCACAAAATTAGTTCACATTTTAAATTATAAATTACAGTACCATTTAATATATATATAAAAATTATTTTTATGAGACGAAGAAAATAAGTATGTATACGGTGGAGAGAGAAGAGGTCGAAGGTGGGCACATGCATAGGGAGCAACCATGTGAGAAGAAGCAGCTAGACATGAAATTTCAACGTGAGTTTTTCACTTCTCCAAAGGGGAGGGAAGTGGCATTTTCCTTTATTCTCTTATAAACATATATAATGCTCTGAGATCCAACTCAAATAGAGAAAGTCCATGTGAGAAATTCACATTTTGTTAGCCAAATTCCAGAGTCCAGACTATACCTTTCTATGCTCTCTGACAAGACTTTCTCCAACCTACCAGTGCTTCTATTTTAAGTTTCATTATATCCGTTCCAAAAAATAAAAATAAAAATTATATGACGATCCAGTTCATTCATTGACGTGAATCCTAACAAGATTTAAAGATATTAGAAATCAATCCACCGAAATCTCTTGTATATGTTAGGGAGAGAGGTGCGAGACAAGACAATTTACCCCTTTTGGGTCTATTGCAATTTATGTTAAAAACATATATGCAATTTCGATTTTGTATTATAATTCGTTCATTACAAATCATTTCTTTCATTCAGTTGCATTCAACAGCCAACCTGAAACATAATTCAAACTACGTGTACTTGGTTCCGGTATCTATATAGGGTTATTTTCTCTGTAAGTCATAGAATATAGACTTTAGACTTATACCAAAATTTTAATTAAACATTTTGTTCCGGATTTGTATACATGACTTGAATTTTGGACTGCGAAAGACTACCGAAAGAAATCTCCTGCCAGGGATGCTTCATTTGGCCATTTTCACCAGTTAGCCCATCATCCATTCACCATTTAGGAGTAACCCAATTTCAATTTCAATTTATGTTATTTCACTTTTTCAATTTTTGCGTGTGCAATGTGACAAAAGTATTAATTGGGTTAATCTAGCTCAAGAATTAGTTTAGCATTTAGGAATTCCGGCAGTTAATTAAAATTCATAAAAGCTCGTTTGACTATGTATCTCGAGTTTCTCTAAACTTACACAAATTAATTAACTATAAATCTATGATATATAGTTATGCAACACTTAAATTGGACCACATAATTTCAACTCAAAATTACATAAGATATGCCACTATTAGTTGGTTTTTGGGGGAAATGCAAAAAATCGAAAAGGAGAAAAAAAAAAGGTTGATGGTTTAATAAGTCTCTATAATAATCTATGCTTGGAAATTAAATTTTTTTCTTTTCTTGCCACTATAAAGTATTGTTTGATGCATTGTAACCTCATATTTTCAGAAATTTCAAACTCATTTACTTACTTAAGAAAATACACTGTGTAAACGCGTCGACCATTTAATTCTTAGATACTTATGAGTCTTTTAATTTTGGAGATGTTTTAATGTTAAGGAATTGATTTTTACTTTACCAACCCCCCAACTAGATTTTGCACCAAAATCTGGAGGTGTTTTAATGTTAAAGAATGGATTTTTACTTTACCAACCCCCAGTTAGATTTTGCACCAAAATAAAATCTTGAAACAAATTTTTATTTAAGTTAGTAAATTAAGTTAGATTTTACTCGACATGCCTATAAATAAGTTGCATTTGCCGTTGAAAAAAATCACCCCCTACACCCACAGTACCTGAGGTTTACTCAACTGCTCCGCAATGAGGCAACCAAGTCGGGTTAAGGGTACTTTTTTACGAACTTCCTTCTTCATTCTTCGTTTCTCATATTTTTTTCACTTTTTCCCTTTAAAAACCCTCTTCTTTTTTTTTTGTTGTTTTGGCAAATCTAGTTTTGTAGACTGCTGCAATATGACATTTATCGGGTGTTTAGTTACCACGATAAATGATCATTTTATGATCTTTTTTTTTTTTTTGGTTATATCTTTTTACGATGATTTTAAAGCCATGCAAGTTGTACGTTTTCTTATCATTTTATTTTTTTGTTGTTGAAAGTTTGGTTCAATAGTCTGCTACGTTATGACATTTATCGGGTGTTTACCTGGAGCAATAGATCTATTACAAATTTTAAAACCATGCAAATAGTGCTTTTTTTTTTTTAATCATTTTATTACTAATATATTTATTATTGTTATTCTTACTATTTTTTGTTTTGTTTTGGAGAGTCTAGTTCTCTGGGCTACTACTACATTATACGACATTTATCAGGTGTTCACCACGAGAAATGGTCTTTCTCTAAGTTGTATATAGTCTTATAGAGCCATGCATATTGCAAATTTATTGTAGGCTAAGACGCTAAGTCTATATAATAGACAAAATTAAGAAATCATTTATTTCCTATGTCACGTTGTTGCAGGTGAATAGAATCTTAATTAGTGTACTATTTTTATAGTTGTTTTAAAAGAAGTCTTTCAACATGATCACATTGTTTCCTGTATTGATCAACACCCCATAATTTCTAGCTGGCCAACTAGCTTGCCACCCCCCGCATGTTCTCATCGTTTGATCATATTTTTTTAAAAAAAAAAAAAAAACAAAAAGAATAAACAGTCCTAGTATAATTAGAAACAAACATTTTTCGAGTCTATCAAAAAAAAAAAAAAAAGTGTTGACAATGATTCCAGGTGATCATGACAAGCCGTCATTCTTCCCGTTGGAATCCTTATTCCGAAATAGCGAAAATCCTCCAGATTTAATATTTCATGGTTTTTTTTTTCTTTTCATTTTCATAAGTTCTTAGAAACAATGATTTTTTTTTTTTCCTTTGCGTTTATGATCTGATCTAGTATGGTGGTTACTTTGCAGGTGTTATGAACGGTGGCAACGGGATGATAAGGAGATCTGTATCATTCTCTGGAGTGGGTGGCCACCACCACCAGCCGCCGCCGCCAGCTGCGGAGCACGATCCGGATCTTCAGGCGGAAGATGACGGCGACGAGGTGGAGGATCAGGAAGACGCGCCGCTGGGGGAGAAGAAGCGGAGACTGAGCCAGGAGCAAGTGGCGGCGCTGGAGAAGAGCTTTGAGCAGAATAACAAGCTCGACCAGGAGCGGAAGATGAAGCTGGCAAGGACGTTGAATTTGCAGCCACGGCAAGTGTCTATATGGTTCCAGAACCGAAGGGCAAGGTGCAAGACCAAGCAGATTGAGAAGGATTATGAACAGCTGAAGAAGCAGATGGAGATCCTGAGGGCAGATAATGAAGTTCTCCGCGCTCAGAATCAGCATTACCACTCTGAGGTATATTTTCTCCGTTTCAAAATAAATATCGTATTTTTTTCTGTTATTTTTATTTTTAACATCCTGTTGTTAACCACTTTAAAAAAAAAAAAAAACAGCTGATGGCATTGAAAGCAAGAGCTCCAACTGGGATGGGAGTAATCAACTTGAATCAGCATGAGAATGATCAGGCTTCCTGGAGTAACGGAAGCGACAATAGCCTAGACATGAACATTTTCCCTAATTCCGTAGTTCAGCCTAATTTCGTGAAGCCAGATATTCCCAACCAGAACGGCGGCGGATTAATGGGTAACGTCATGTTCAACAATGTGGAGGAGCAGCCCAGTTACTGGCCGTGGCCGGAGCAGCCGAATTTCCGTTGATCGGAAAGTCTTTTTCAAAAAATAAATTATCACAAATGTTTTTTTTTTCCTTTTTCAATAATCTTTTTTTTTAAATAAGCATACTGTATACCCACCCAGCTTCATGGGGATAGGAAGATTTTCAGTTGTTAGATTTTTATGTTTTTTTTTAATATTTTGTCTGAATAAAGTGATAATTTGAACCCTTTATTGAACGAACAAATTTCGTGTTTGATTATTTTTATTTTTGAATTTGATTATCTTTACCGCCGTAAACGTTCGCGCCTTTTACAGAATATGTACTCAGTTTTCCTTGGGGTGAAAGAAACGTACATAACTATTCATTATATATAATCATTTCGTAATAAAAATAAATCTCGTAACAAAATAATTAACATTTCCTTTCTATGCTTAACTAATCTAAATAAAATCTCATAACTTAGAAACCCAATATATTTAAAAGTAAGTAAATTATTATACCTATAGCTATAATAGTTCTCTTAAATTTGGTTATTTTCATACATATTTTTTTTAAAAAAATCATATATATTTTTACTGATAATAGCATTAAAAGCAAAAATTCATAAGTGGTTTTAAAAAATGATTAATATAACACTAAAAAAATCGAAGATCCATGTTACTCTCAAATCCTAAGGGAAGAAAGTGGGGTCTTCTTATGTTCTGGCATGAGACTATAGTCACTATAGTACAGAAGCTACAAAAATTAAATTTATTGAAATATTTTATTAATTAATTAATTGTTACAACTCCTCCACGACGACCACGAAGTCATCACTTCGAACTTTGTGGTGTTTGCACTCTGTAAAATAATTTATTATAAAATAATTTTCCGAGAGGAAGGTTCTTTTGACGTAGAAGGAATTGGAGACATTAGATGAATGAATTATTTTAAGATAAATAAATATATAAAATAAAAAATAAACGGTGAAAAAGACAGAATTAGGCAATTCCATCGAATCACAAATTATATTCCTAGAAGAAAGCAAACAAATGGAATGAACAGGAAAAAGGGTTCACTTCTGTGAAGGCGAATTCTGTACATGTCAATTTTTAGTTTTGTTACCTTTTTATTTCGGGATGATTAATTGTTTTATGATTAACACGATGTAAATCGATTAATAACTAATAATCCAAAAGTCCACAATCAGATTGAGAGATTAACTTTGAATTATTTAAAATAAGAGTCTCAATCATAAAACATTAACAAGGATTTGAAATGTTATTAGTTGGGTGCTTTGGTTAAAAAATTACCTAGAAAAAGGAGTAGAGAGATCTATTGGTCTCTTTTTTTTTTTAAAGAAAAATACCAAGATCGGATTTACAAAATCCAAACTACTAATTAATTAGTAGATCGAATTTTGTAAATTCGACCTAATAAAATAATATATATAATTTTTTTGTGGAAAATACATGTAAAAAAAATTAGGAGAACAGTCAAATAATGAACAGTACAAGGTCGTTTTTTTAATAAAAAAAATTAAAGGGTGGGAAAATTTGAAAATTTATTATGGTGAGAAAGTTGGAAATCTAATAAATTAACAGTAAAATCGAATTTTGAAAATTCGAACTAGTTCTTATTTTTAAAAAAATCTTTATGTGTAGATTACTTTGAAAATTCGTCCGAGAGTTAATAGAAATTCACATTAAATTGACCTATCCACTTTAAAAAAAAAATTGTATTAGATATGATAATAATGAAATCTTATATTACTAATAATTACTAGGAATTTGCATTGATGAAAAAAATATATTACTAGTGTTGCATAGTATTATTAAAACTATTAGAAATTTGTATTAAATTAATTCATTATAATTCATCTGTACTAGTGTTATGTCTTATTTATACGTACTAGTGTTATGTAGTACATTAATCCTATTACCCACTATATCACTAGTACTAGTGTTACTTATTACTGTTAAATCTGTTAGTCATTAGATATTATCTAGATTAGTGTTACGTAGTATCATTAATACTATTACAACTTAAGTATCACATATATACCAATATTACTTATTATTATTGACATTGTTAACATTGTTACACATCAGGTATCACATGTACTAGTACTACGTATTATCATTAACATGGTTACACATTACTACCATTAACATTGTTACCTATTACGTGTTATTGTTATTATTGATACACATTAATATTAATATTTTTTTAGGGACTATTAATATTGTTACTCATTAGATATCATCTAAATTAGTATGACATAACACTATTAATACCGTTATACATTAGATATTACATGTATTGCTGTTACATATTATTATTAATACTGTTATAAATAATTATCATTAAATATTATTATCTATTACAATTTGTCTGTTTTTCATTATATATCGTATGTACTAGTGTTAGAAAGTGTTGTCAACTCTGTTACTCATTACATAACATTAATACTAATGTTATACAATACCACACACACAACATTAACGTTGATACATCTATTTTTGTGGATTATATTGACACAATATCATATTTAAATTATGAATGCTCAGTTAAAGCAAATTTATAAACAAAAATCGGATTCCACAAATGCAAATTTGCGATTAAAACGAATTTTGCAAATCTGATTTAAAGAGAAAATCGGATTTTTAAAATCCGAGTTAAAGGTAAATTCGGATTTGTGAAATCCGATTTTTGTAGTAAGCCGGATTTTGCAAATCCGAGTTAAACCCTAAACCCTAAATCATAAACTTGAATAAGAAATTTCGGATTTTCAATATCCGAGTTAGTTAAAAATCTGAATTCTTGAAAATCGATTTTACCAATTGTTCGGATTTCGAAAATCCAAAATTAACCCTAAAACCTAAACTTATATAAGAAACTTCGGATTTTTAATATCCGAGTTAGCTTGAAAGTCGGATTCCCAAAATCCAATTTTAGTTTCTTATGCCGAATTTTGGAAATCTAAATTTTTTTTTCTTCCATCCCCGGTCTCGTAATGTGCCTTGTGTGGGTATGGGCACTGCAAGAATTATAAATTTGAGATGTCAGTATCAGTTTTGCTTTTAAAAATCAGTCTATTTTTCTAAAAAAAAAAATTCTGCTTAATGTCGAATTTAGCAAATTCGAACTTAGTCAAAACTAAATTAATTATTTCGTTTCATATTTATATGGATGAAAAATAGTTTTTGTTTCTATTGTGACAGATTTAGACTGGTTTGAGAATTAGTTTATCTCTTTTTTTAAGAAAAAAAATATTGGTGGAAGGTCGGATTTGGCAAAAAAAAATTCGCTAAAAAAATTAATTTTTTTATTCATAAAATATTATTTTAATGGTAACTCGGATTTTTAAAATCCAACTTTGGTCAAAATTTTATTTTTGAAAAAAATCTAAGTATTTTTCTTTAAAATATTATTTTTTATTAGGTCAAGGCCGGATTTTGAAAATTCGATCTTCTGTTAATCATGATTAATGTAATTAATTTTTTATATTAAAGGAAAGTCAGATTTAGGAAATCCGACTTAGCTGTAAAACCGGATTTCAGAAATTCGATCCCGATATTTTTCTCTTCTCCAAAATTCAACCTATATTTCTCTCTACTCCTATTTCTAAGCTATTTTTTTGATACAAAAAAACTCGTTATTAGTTACTTTCTAAAATAAAAGAAAAGAAATGTTATTAGTTACATGTATCGGCAATAATGAAGTGACAAGATTTTTTTTAATGGAAAATGATAATCAATTAATATGAGAATATTTTATGGTTAATGATGAAGTAATGTATAAGAAAATATTTTGGTAAGCACATCAAAAGAAAATCAAAATTACACTCTAGCTAATTGTCTTGAAATCTTTATTCCATTTGAAATAAAATGGTTCACACTGTATATTTATGTAAATTTGGGCAACATGGTTCATTGGTTTGGCTACGAAATGGCAAACTGACAAGCAGTAGTTTTTAGGCATTACCAGATGGATAATTTTACCATGGATTTAAGTTCGACATCAAGAAATTTTGCAGAGTTGAAAAACTACTGATTTTTCTGCTCAAAATTATAACGATGTTGGTTGATGTAGGTGGCTTCCCGCCGCCGGTTATTGGTTTAAACCTTAAGGTTAATTCCGATGGATCTTTTAATAGGGATTCTGGGTTAGCCTCGGGGGATCAGTAGTTTTGGGATGAATATAAAAAAAATCATCGATCTTTAGGGTTGAGCTGTGAGGTGTCCCATAATCTGCTCTTAGCATGAGACAATCCGTGTCGACCAGTGTTGCTCAATAATCGGGATGAAATCAAATAATAATAAGACACATTCCTGTTGTCTCAAAAATAATTATTGAGTTTTAATTTTTATTTTTGGCAAATTTTCAAATTGAATAATCATTTCGTGTAGTGTTTATACTATAGAGCAGTATTTTTCGGTACGAAAGGACTTAATGGGGAAAGGAACGGGTTGGTGAAATTATAAGAAGGCAAATTTCATAACCAATTTCTTGACGCGTACGGCAATTATTCCAAATGGTTTTATTATTGTTGTTGTTGTTATCCCAAAGAGCTTCATATATCTATCCACCTCTTAAGTACTAACCCGTAATTACGACGTAAACATTGTCTCTTATAACCACAGTAACCACTCATTATATTAATTTAAAGTTTTAAACTTCTGTCTCCTTCATTGTTCCAAGCACATTTTGATAGTAAAGAAATGTCAGACACGCATGATTGGTACTATACGAGTGTGATAAATCTTTGAAGAGACATATAAATCGGATATGTGAGGGGATAAGTTTTATTCGCAAAACAAAAAAAGGGGGAAAAAAAGAAGGAGAACTTTGATAGATTCCTTTTATTCGTTAATTAATTCTCTCTCTTTTTTTTTTCCGTTCCAATATTTCTGTTTGGTTTTCTAGCTTGCGCAAAGACTGCACATGTTTCCACAATTTTTTCAAAATTCTGACGCAGATTAGTACAGTTTTATTGTGCATGGTACATTACGCTCTTTGTGTTTTTTCGCCCAAATTAAATTATCGTCCTAGAAACCAT